CTCACACTCACTCTCACTCTCACCCACAGTCACTAAGCCCCACCTTCACTCTCACTCACGCTCACTTACACTCACACTCACTCTGACTCTCACTCTCGCCCACACTCACTCTCACTTGCACTCACACTCACACTCACTCTCCCACTCTCACGCACACTCACACTCCCTCTCACCCACACTCACTCACACCCACCTTCACTTCATCACCGCCATCACCTCTCTGGACCCCAATGCGTCTGGATCTCTAGACTTTCTGCTTACAGACCTCACACACACTGTTTGGGGTATCTTGCCGGGACAACTTTTTTTTTTTGGCATTTTTAAAGTGGACAGTTTAGGTTTTGTTGCATTTTGATTGCATTTTTTGCATTCCAACGCTTTCCTTGGTGACTAGTTACTAGTTTTTGCGTTTTCTGTGCATTTTTTGCGGCATTGGTGTTGTATGTTTTTTGCCTTGTTTGTGCTTATTCGATGTTTTGCTGGGTCATCAGAACTAGCTTTAGTGTACATCTGTACATCATAAGTCTTGTTTAAGTCAAGGTCCTTCTTTTCAGGAGTATTTGTTCAAGGAACCCTTTTTGTAATCAACCTTTTTCCTTTCGCCGAGTCCGCCAGGAGGCCGGACAGAAAGAAGGCTTCCGATCCCTAGCTGAGAGGCGGGGAAACCCACGAACGTTTCATGACACGCTATTAGGTTCATGGGAGATTCTTGCCAAAAAGAACCCAAGGGTTTTGACAGAAATCCAACAATTCTTAGATCTTGATATGCACTTTCCACGAAATGCCAAAAGGCATGCTGCGTGGAGTTGAAGGTTGTTCAGGTCTTTTCGGTTTCACCCCTTCACTTTCCTTCGGATCCAAGACTCCAAAGGTCACTGACCAAATGTGGTTGGCCAATACGAATGAGTGCAGACCAAAACCATGGTGGATTCACATGCCATGGTGGGTTTACATGTGCTCCGTTGGGTTTGCCGATTTTTGCCGGTTTGGCCGGAGTTCGATCGATCACGAGGTTGAGCAGTGAGATTGGGGTGCCAGAGGCTCGGTGAACAGGGTTTCGGACACCGAGGCTCGTCGCTGTGTTTCTTCGTTGAAGACATCGTGATGTCGCTCTTCTGCCTCCGAAGACGGATTCGGAGCAAAACTATATATCTGCATCCAGCACCTTGATGTCTCGTTTGATTTCGATGAATGGTGTGTTAACTTCTTTTTGGGGGTTGCTTCACATGAAGCAACGGCCTCCCTTGAAGGATGTTGCAGCTTCTCAATGTCGAACACTCCACCATTGAGCGTGGCGGCATTTCTTGCCCCTCCAAACAATGTGTGCCAACTCACTACTAGGAGCAAGGTTCGCTACTAGGAACAAGTGCATCGCTTCTAGTAACAAGTGCCTTACTAGTAGTTACAAGAAGCTACTAGTAACAGGTGCATCGCTACTAGTAACAAGTGCCTTACTAGTAGTAACAAGGACGCTAGTAGATCCTTCACCAACACCAGATCCTTCGGCCTGCGATCGTTCGGAACCGCCGACACGTTCATTCGTTTCGAACCCACCCGACTGAAGGGGCCACGGAATTGGGACTTTGCATTCAGACTTTGGCGACTTTTGAGAACTTCCCTGCTTGAGAACTCAATTTATGCTAACATACATTGCTACACGGTAGAGCATTTCAAAGGTCCCCCCCCTTTGAGTCACACTTTGGAGGTCGTTTCCTTGAGCTACGGCTGCCAGTTGCTGGAGCCCGTGCACAGCTCAGCATCACGGCTCAGTTAGTATGTAAGACAGGAACTGTGGCTCGTCCAACCAGTTCAGAACCGTGTACCCACATGTACAGCTTATAAATTCTTGTAGCCCCGTGTTTTGGATGATACACCAGGGGGTGGATGACCCTTCCTGCAGCACTGGCCTTCTGCCGCAGCCATTTTTGTATGTTGTTTTCGGATCTCTTTCTATTTTGAAGCCTTCCAGGGGCGAACTGCCTCCGGGCGGATCTGGACAGGCCTCCCCGGCCTCCCCCTGTGCCCTGTGCCGGGATTTGGTCGGTGGCACCGCTGCGAGTACCCCTGTGAGGCTGTGAGTTCAAGCCCCGGCGGGTACAATCCCTTGGGTGCTGGTGCCACCAACACAGCAGGCGGATGGATGTAAAGACGAGGGAAAGGCTTCCAGTGACCTTGGTCTTTCAGCTGTGAAAGACTCGTGGTGCATCCGGAAACAGTGAATTATATGTTCATATGCTTTATCACCCTTTCTGGCCTGTTTATTATCTTTCTGCCGAAGTGCACTCCTCACCTCACGGCCAGGTGGCGTTGAGGGGGCCCTGGTGCCCCGAAGCTGGACGCTTGTCGGAAGACGCCGATTTGTGAAGGGCTGGTGGGTGGGTGAACAGCAGGGGCGCAACCGCCACCCTGAAGACGGTCCCCCCAAAAAAGCTGAGGAGCTGGTGAGGAGCACAAGAGGGTCTTGATTTGTTGGGCTTTTTGTGTGTGGGAGGTGCTTCGATGTTTGAGGCCTCCAGTTGGAGGAATCCGCTAGCAGCAGTGCTGGACATGACATGGAGGTCTGTGCATCCATGTTGATCTGCAGGTGGCACCCGAGTGACTGTTTCATGCACAATCCCCCAAGACATCATTTTTCTCCATTTCATCCTCTTTCTCCATTTCTGGAACTCTGCTTGACCGAACATGGACACGCAAACGCTGGCTGGACGGTAAACGCTCGCTCGCAGGCTTGTCTTGAGAGTCCCGGAATTCCTGAAGGCTCAGGAGGCGGGCGGGCTTTTGAACCAACTTCTCCCGTGAGTCAGGACTCGACGTGTTTTCGCAATCGGAACCTGACCACCTCCCAAGCCATGGACGCCCAAAACCAGCTTGGCTCAAAAAAGGAAGGGAAGGGTGAGTCCAGAGGCACGTAGGACCTGCGCACTTCAAAAGACGGCCCTTTGAACCTAGAAGCAGCGAATGGGTCAAGAAGAAGAGATGTGGCTGAAAGAGAGGTTGCATGATGTTGCATCTGAGACAATCAGAGTGCAAAAGCAGTAGAAACACCTCATCAAACACAACCGAAATCACACCTTGATCCCTTGGGCCGCTTGGGCCGCAGAGCCGCGACCCAAAACCAGACCGTCGAAAGATGGCGGTCCTCTGGCCCTGCGGCAGAGGCAGGAGCCTCTTTCACAGTGCGGTGTATACCTAGACTTGATGGATGAGGTCCGGGGGAGGAGTCGGATGAGCACTTTTTGGAGAAGATATATACCTTTTTCAGGATTTTCAGGGCAGCAGTGGATGTTCCTAGAGAAACATCTCCTCTCATCTCTCATTTTTCCCATTCCCCACCATACCTCCGATGTCTCCGCATTGGTTGCTTCGCGAGGCCGACCTCGAAGAGGCAGGCGACGCATCACTTGGGCCGTGGCACTGGTGGCGTTGATCCTGTTGCAGGCCGAGTTGGGGGGATTACTATGGGGTCTCAAGGGGCTTTCGCTTGGGGTGAAAGACAGTTCCCCCCTGGTCTTGCCCTCGGTGATCATTTTTTTTGGTTTAAGTTGTTTCGTGTGAGCCCAGGGCTTTATCAAACGTGTGTATGCTGTAGCATATATAGAGTGTGTATCACTGTACCACAAGGTGCTCTTTTCTCATGCAGAGCTACAATGACCGTGGTGATTATCATATTAAATGTAAGAGACGATTTCTCCTGTTTCCGAAACAGCAAACCACTTGGTTCTCCGTGTCAAACCTATTAGGTGAGCCAGAGCTTCTTGCTGCCGAGACGGCTGCGGCCAAACCGGCTACGGGAACGACAGGCCCAGCGAGGGATGTTGAGTGCTCATTTGAGGCTGAGGGAGAACGGTGAGGTTTGCTAAGTTGCGAAACGAAGGCTCAAGATGCGACAGAGTTGAAACCGAGGCCCTGTCAGGTTTGGTTTGATCGTACAGTACGGTGGGCAGCCACCTGGATGCCTCACAGGCGCAGGAACCGGATCAACGGCCATCCTCCCGGTCACTGGCCTTTCTGGCTGTCAAGGTGGGGATGCCAAGACTGTTGCGAGAACTTGAAGCTTCCGTTTTTCGCAGCGCTGAATTGGCTGGCAAATGGACCACCTAGAGATGGAGAGGATATTTATTTCAAGATGCATCACAGTTGACTCGAGCTGCCACCTCTTTCCTAGATAAGATTAACTTGTTTGTTGATGTCAGAATGGTATAAGCACAATGGATGTATTTGAGAGGCTCCTTTAAACATGGAAGTCATATTTTGGAGCTTGAAACCCTTTTGCTGCATTTCTCTACCTTCCAATTGTTCTGAGGATGCGATTTATGCTGCTCTCTTTGGAGCTCCATATGACACGACATCCACAAGTGGTGCCATTGAAACAGTAACGGTGCCCTGGCAGAAGAATCTTGTCTTGTCCGCACCACAACTCACCTTGGTCCTGGTTCTTACATGAAGAGATCGGCCTGGTTTGGAAAGCTTCAGGTGGTGCTTTCAGACTGCGAGAGAGACCATGTTCTGCCTGAAGTTGCAGGGTTTAGATTCATCAGATTCAGTTGCAGGGTGCGCTTTCCAACTTCTCATCTTCTGCGGTCACTGGTGCTGCACATGGAGTCAAGGTGGGGTCCGCTGATGATCAGTCTTTTTGCTAAGAGCCGTCTCAAGTTTAAAGGCTTCTCCAAACGGATTTGCAAACTTGCCGCGCTTAGCCCAATCGTGGGGTTCCCGGCTGTTCGAGGCTGCCGAAGGGTTCGCGGGCTCCGTGGCCACCTGGGGACTTTCCAAAGTTCAGGAGAGCGTCTCGCGCGAGCGTGGGGACTTGTTGCCTCCAGAGCGTGGTGAGCGTTTTCCTTTTTGGACGAAGAGGACAGCGTGGGCTGAACTCGGTGGAAGAAAGAGCACAGCTTTTTGGCTTCCTGGAGTTTCGATGTCCACTTTCTCGGCCCTTTTAGCTCACACCCATGTAGCTCACATGGATGTCCACCAAAAGGGACGACGCAGTTCGCTGAGAAGCCTTTTCTGTGTCAGTGTCTTTCTGGCATCTTCCCCTGGTGGTGTGCCACTGGTGGTGCTTCGATCCTCACGAGCGACTCGCTTCGTCGACTCGCGCCTCGGGCCGCTGCATGCCACGGGTGCCTCGTGCTCAGAGCTGCCGGAGTGGTCCGATGGGTCGAGCAAGGGCCAAGGCGGTCAAGGCGGTCAAGGCGGCCAGGGCGGCCAATGGGTCAGCAGCTCTGTGCTGGTGGTGGACCTTCAAAATGAGACCTTGGCCATGGAGCTGGCTGACTGGTGCTTGGCTGTGGAGCAAGATGAGGGGAGAGTGGTCAGCAACGTGGGTGGATTTCAAAGCCAAAATCTTCCTGTGACGTCCCACCCAGGACTCCAAACACTTCTTTCCCGCTTGAGAGGCCTTTTGTGCAAATTTCTCTTCAAACGACGCCGGGGCGTAGCGCCTCCAGATCTGGGCAGGAGTCTCAGCGTGGCATGCCAAGTAGAGCATCTTTGGGTGAACGTGAACAGACCAGGGAACTATAATCAGCTGCAGCTCAGCAAGAAAAACACTACAGTTCATCCTTTGTGTTGCGAGTCTCCCCTTGGTTTCGTCGTCCTTTGCTGTCAGAGCCTGGCCGCACCAACCAAGGCATGAGCATGGCCCGCCCCTTCTCTCCCGTGCCGCGTCTGTGATCTACTATCCGCAGCAAGAGTCTTCGGGTCCGGCCAACGCACGCTTTTACGATGGTGGCTCCGCGGTGGAGGTCGCTCCGCAGTCAGGGCGAGTGGTGCTCTTCCCCACGGACCTCCTGCATGAGGTGGATCCGGTCTGGGCAGGTGGTCCAAGGCGGGATGACATGGGATGACAATGTTGGGCGATTGCTATGGACCCCTGCAGTCTGGAAGTCTTTGATGTACACATGGACAGGCAAAACAATGATAGTTGGGGACTTGGGACTTTACTTTTGGTTCTCAAGCGATGAACATCTTGTTGAACATCTCATCTTGAATCTCGGGCCGGCCTATGGGCAAGGAGAAGCGCTGCTGTTTGATCTTCCGTGTCTTCCAACGCCTCTTCTAAACTTACTCATCTGAGGGTCGAAACCTTTCTGAGGGCACAGAGCATACAAACATGGTCAACCATGCTATTTTCGGTGCTTTCTCCCATCGGCACGGCTCGCCAGGCTTTCCATTGCCCTGAACCTCTTCGTCCGCTGGCTTGACCGGCCCTTGCTGCGCGCGGCCCTCCTGGGCGATCGCCGAGCCGCCCGAGCGGCGCTCGACGCCCACGCCGGCGCCGGTGGCGGCGACGGCGTCGCGGCGGCGGAGCGGGAGCTGGGGTTCCAGGCGGTGCACCTGGCGGCTGAAGCAGGGCACCTGGAGGCACCTGGCGGCAAAAGTGGGGCATGGGGGAAGTGCTTTTAGCAGATTGAGCCACTCAACACTTGGTAGTATGTTGTTGTAGTAGAACCCGTAATATGGGGACACCTTGGTAAGGGAAACAAAATGGGTGTTTTCGGTCTAGGCAGTTTCGCTTCATTTGCCAAATTTGCACATGAAAAGGTTGGGGAATTGATCGTTGATTGGCATGACGTTCCTCATCTCTCAAAAAGCAGATGAATCCCATGCCTCTTTGGTTTTGAAAATCATATGCGCAGATTATATGTGTGGGAAAGAACACATGTATACACGCCACATGTAAAAGAAGAGCAGATATAGGAAAACATGGAAACACAATCGATACAACTTGCAACATCATGGGCTATCCTACTACCCAGATGTGTAGAAGTTCTCCGCTGATCGGTTGGTGCTGTTGGAGCACCAGTGCTCCATCCGTCGTCCGGTCGTCAGGTCTTAAAGCTCTTGATGCAGCATGGGGCTGATGCAGGTGTAAAGACCTCAGAGGCTGAAGTTTGAAACAAAGAGCTAAGTGAAAAGAAGGGAGAAGAACTAATGATGTTGAAGAAGGTGTTGTGCTTGCTTGGGATTGGTCCAGGAGTCATGGGATGTACAAACTTCTGGTTTTGCCCTTCAGGGCTGGTGCTGCTTGGGTTTGGCCGCCGCACAGGGCCACCTCCACATCTTGCAGCACTTGGTGCCCGGTGGTGCCCACCTCGACCCAAACCAAGCGCGGCATGCGGACCTGCGGCGAGGCTTTGCTGGAGTGGAGGGAGCGCTGGCCGTGGCGGAGGAGAGAGGTCAGGATTGGGTGAAAACATGGCAGGGAATTAACGGGAGACAGATTTCATGGGTGCCAAAACAGACAGAGAGAGAGGTTTCTTTTTGGGGACTTCCAGTTTGAGAGGTTCACGGAAGACCGTGAAGTGCGGGGGGATAAATAAAGTTGTTTTATCCAGTGGTCTAGGCTTTGCATTTTTCGCAACCCTTGGGACTTTGCGTCTCCAAGTGTTCCAAGCTCGGCTCCACAGGCCACTCGAAGATCGTGGACTTTTTGACGCAACCAGGCTTACCGAGAAAGGGGTCTTAGCCGCTCTGCTTGGCTCTTGACCAAGCGTGGAGAACATAGCTGTGCCAGCGCCAGGTCGTTGTTAAGATCCACGAAGCCTCCCGTGGCAAGGGATGACATGGCCCATGCAGAAGTGAGGGACCAGCAGACTCCACGAACAGGCAAGACTTTAGCAGTGTGGGGCTCACTCTTCTCCAGTACCAGCGTCCTGCGTGTTCAGCAAACCGCTCAGGATTTCAATGAGAACGATCAGCAACGGCTCTTGATAGCCTTGCCGGTATGTGTTCTCTCCACCAACTAAGTTAGACACTTAGACTTGAAACCCAGTGACAACGTCAAGATGTGGTGATACTGTACTTGGCTTTTGATGTTGTCTGACGCTCATGCCTGACCACAAGATGTGCATAATGTCATTTGCTTGCGGGCAAAATATGATTCCACAGCAGGACACAGATCCAGCTTGGGGCATTTAGAGCTGAACCGTCACAAAACGACGAATGGATTGATCAAAACCATTTGACAGCTAGTTTCATATGTTTGGGCATTTTGTGGGCAGCTTTGGACCCTGGTGCTTGGTCGCAGTGAGAGTACTTTCCTCTGACATGTGCAAGTGCCTTTTTGCTGTGTTGACTTGCCACGTTTCCAGGAGCTGAAGTCATTCTTTCATTTATCTGAGATGGATTTATCTGGAGATGGAGGACTGACTGACCGGCACGGTCAGTCTCGTGACTGACCCATGCTTTCGCAAGCCATGTGATGCTTTCGCGTCACAGCAAGTTGAACAGATGAAGTTGGACCAGACATTTCCCTGAAAGAAATCTGACAGTGGGTCAAACATCTTTCGCCCTCAAATCCCACTGGCAACCTGTGGAACCTTGTGGAACATGTTTTGGACACCCAACGCGTCGGAGGATCTGAAGCTAATGAGGCGTCTGAGGCCGAGGTCGAGACCCCACAGGTTGCCGGGTGCTTAGTGGTACTTCATTGGCATGTCGAGTGGGGCGACTCCACAGCGGAGCTGTTCAGATGTTTGATGTTCATGGATTTATATATACAGTGGTAAAGGGATTTTGTCCGGTATTTCCGCCTTCCGCCTTCATCCACACTTTGGGCCTAACAAATGGCCCCTGGTATTATTGTTTGTGTTTTTGAACTTCCTGGTCCCTACCTTTCATTCACTCTGGTGTTCTTTTGAATCTTTATACTCCTTTTTTTTTTTCCGTCGAGAGATTCCCAAGCCTTCAAACAGTCAGCTTGATCCTCTATAATCTGCCTTTCAAGTTGGAATCTTGCGCCCAGGTGAAGCAACAGCAAGAGCTGACGCCAGAGCCAAAAGCTCCGGCACCCCTGGAGCTTGGGCTGAAATCAAACAGAATTGAGAACATCTTCCAACATTCACTTACTTGTACAGGAACATGCTGTTAGATTCTATTGATCTTTGTCAGAAGGCCACCAGAGGTCCAGGCCGCTGCGAAATGGAAGGTTGACCTGAGTTTATATTCTTCTTTTCCAAGAGACTAGAAACTCAATCTTTTTGATTCGCACAAAAATGAGGTGGAGTCGGCCCAGTCCTTTGCGCCTTTATTCAATGATGGAAGTGGATTGGGAGCCCCTTGGCCCAGTCCTTTGCGCTTGGTCGGCAGAATTGCAAGTGAGCAAAGTGCAAACGGTCAGGTCTCACTTGCTACTAGTAGCTTCTTGCTCCTAGTAGCGATGCCAGGAGCCCCTAGTAGCGTCCTTGCTCCTGGTAGTAAGGCCAGGAGCCCCTAGTAGCTTCTTGCTACTACTATTTTCAGAAAACATGGACGTCTTAATTATATTTGAAGAAACATTAGCAATCCCAAAAATGAAACCTAGCTTTGTGACTGTACACATTTTGGCGTCATGTCGATGATCTATGTGCAGCCTGTTCCCCGTACGTAGAAGCTGGATAGATTATGAATGATTATGATACCTTTGGCCTTTGGTCTTTCCTGTTTGCACATACTGGCTTGCCTTTCTGCAAGGCATGGCAGAGTAGTGAAAGCAATACTGAAAACGATGCCAACCGATACCCGCATTGTATGGTTGGATGCCTCGAGAAGCCGGTTGTCCACTTGTATCGTAGGGCGGCAATTGTGGGAACTTGCAATCAACTGATAGTGCTTCTCTTCTCCGGTCACTCTCCGAAGCCTTTTCGCTCTAGTGACTCTACAATGTAGCAGTTCTGAATGCTTATTGGAGATCTTGCATCCACTCTCACCGCTCCCAAGCCCACTGCAAATCTTAGCACTCATGAAATGAACAGGTCGTTTACTCTACATGTAGACGACACTTCCCAAATAGAAGTCAGCAACAGATTGAAAAAACGATAGCCGATAGCAGTACCTTCAAGATTCCACCCAGGGGCCTCCTAGTTTTGCCGGTCGCTCAAGTGTTTTTTGGATCAGTAGGGATTGCGTGAAAGCCGGTAATGGCAAACGGCAAGCTGAGGCGGAACCCGGAGATTTTTTTCTGTTTATCAAGGACACACACACGCCGAGATTCCATCGATTGATGCGATCACGGAACTGCCCGGATGACGTGATCGCAGTTGCAGAACCATATCATGTACAAACTGCTTTTCTTTGCGCTTCCTTAGCTCACTCCACTTTTCGTCGCCTGAGCCGGCAGGTAGTTGCGGCATCCATTTTTGTTTTTGCATTTTGTATTGCAGCAAGGCATGCTGCATGCAAGAATGTTTTTAGCATCACCAGCAAAGGATCAGACTAAAATTGGAGAGAGTAGCGACCTCATCTCAACATGCCATGACTCGACACAGGCCGAGGAACCAATGCTGCAGCTTTGGAAACGGTAGTTTTATGTATACATATATACTATATTGGAGAATGGGAGTTGAGAAAACGTTTGGTTGTTGCAAGATATTGTAAAGGATGGAAGTGGCTTATCCAACAATCCACGGAGTTCTTCTCACTTTGCCTGCTGGTTTGTGCTTGGAGGACTACAGCTGGACCCTGCGCTACAGAGTCAGTCAGAAGGAAGACACTGTCGACACCGAGAGGACGGCAGCTCAGCCGGCGGAACCCGTGCAGACGGACCTCACACGAGTGGACGGAGGATCCAGCTTCGGCGTTCCACTCAGTGGAAGGAATGGTGCCAACACGCCAGTCTGGTGGATCCAGTAAGACAGTGAGGAAGGAATGCTATGGTAACTAGCTACTTGATAGGAACGCGGATGAAAGATGATGAATGCCCGGTGAAGAGTATGGATTAGGTGGTTGTGCATCACGTTGGCTGGTCAGCTTGTTGTTTGGGTCGTCACCAAATACTGTAGTATTTGGGATGGTCAACGGGTGGTGCACGGGACCAAATCGTGGGAGGCCCTTGCTGCTGGACTGGATCAAGCTTCGGCGCCCGGTCCAACAGCCCGCAGATCTCCTGGAGGCGCTGGACTGAGCACGAGAAGTCGTCAAGACAAAGAAACAAACATCAGAAGGAGACACATTGAGGTGAAGACAAGCTAGCAAATTTTGAAATTTTAAAAAAAGGACCCCCCGCCATGGCTTGCTTCGATTTGTTCCACTGTCGTCATTTTGTTCAGCTTGCATGTAGATACTCATTCGTCATAGGGGTCTAAGCTCAAGATGCCAACGTCTGTGGTGATTACAGTAAAACCTCTACCATCCGTGACATGTTTCTTGATCCAAGCGTGCGGGTGCAATCGCGTAACGCGCCGCACAACAGATCCCCAGCTCGGACCTCTTTGACTGGAATGTGGTGGAGCCTCCCCGACACAGCGGCTTCATGTACCAGGTGGGGTCATCCCTCGCTGCACGTTCGCGCGAAGGTTTCGCGAAGCACGCCACTTCAGTGCGCCTAACGCCTTTTTAGCGCACCTTGCTCCATGATACAGCGTCACACAGGTTGGTCACAATGTCAGAAACTATTTAGAGTGCAATTTGCTTTTTGTACGCTCTTTGGATGGCCTCTCATCCTGACAGGCTTATATAAACCATCTACCAGGTAAATGAGAAAAGCCATTATCCTGGCTCCTGCCTTCATTGATGCCAATGCATCAAACCTCCTGTCCGAGCCTCCTCGGCTCAAGTTAGATGGGCTTGGCTCGGAAATCTGAAGGCATGAAAAACGGAACTGTGACAGCTGGCAAAACTGCCTGAAGAAAAGCGGTGGGTTTTCCGTTGATCTGGCGGCGGGTGATTTTCTGAGCCGAACTCCAATGCCTTCGCCTGAGAAGCGCGGGACGAATGTGGGCTGGGCCTTAGCGGCTTGTTTTGTGCCGTTGGTGGCTGTGCTTTATCACCTCTACGCAGAGGCTGCTGCGGAGAACGAGGAGCTGAGAAGGAGATTGGAGAAGGTGCCAGTGCAAGTTGAATGTTGGTAGTATACACTCATCATTCCCACTAGACTTGGTAAAGTACGGCTTTGACATAGATAGGTGAGTGACTACTATATACCTTTGGCCAGGCTTTGGAAGTTCTGTTTTTTTTCACAGATATGATGCTGCGGTTGTCAGGGACACGGGATTGAAATTCGGTAGGTACATTGGGGTCGTGTAGCAATGACGACCAAGTCAGGGTGAGCATCCGGAGGTCATTATCCTTTGTCATTGCTCAGACCTTTTGCCAGAGCTAGTCCTTTCGCTATCAAGTTTGTCCCATCCTTAAAAAGTTCTCTATGTCCGAAAGCTGATCAGAACCCCCGTGTTGAAGATGGTCCGTTTGCATTGTCTGAGCCAGGTCCCTGAGAGGGCAGGATGTTTGCCATGGGCCAGCCCGGGTTACTTGACTTGTCGGCCACATGACAGGCCAAGGCGCAAGATGATAGTTCGTCACCGCGGGCAGAGAATGCGATGAAGTTGGCGTCGAGCTTGGAAAGCTACTGGCCGGTGCAAGCGGTAGCCGTGCTCGAGGAGGAGCCCACAAGTGGGGCAGAAACAAAGGGAGGAGGAGGTCACGAGTTATGAGCCTTCTTTTTTGGGAGCTAGTGAGCGCAGAAGAACTCTGTTGTTCCTGTTATTCCACTTCTGGAACGGGGTTTGGCCCCCTGCAGGAGTTGCTTCGAGGTGCCAGCAGCTGCGCGCCCACTTTTGATCCCTCATGCATTCTGCAGCATGGGCATTACAGGCAATGGTTTCGGGATGTTTGGGTCATCGTCCAAATGTCCAGCTACTATGGGTCGTAGCAGTTGAAGGAGGCACCCAATTTTGAACCCCACCGGAAAATCTCAAGAATCTCAACTCGGGATTTTCCGTAGCAAGCCGCGCAGAACACATTGATGATCACACAGAGCGATGTGGAACGCGGGGTCTCTGCACAAGAGCGATGAACAGTACGTCAAACACTTGGGATGAAGATAAACATAGAAAAGCCAGGCCACCTCGCACCCTCATGCTTCATTGCTTCACCCTCCGGGCGCTTCGGGCTTCCTTCGGAGCCCCGGGCTTCGCCTTTTTGTTCACTCTCAGGCCTCGGACGAAGATTGAACTTCTGGATGCCCTTGGAGATGCCCATGGTGCAGCAACTCACTATGAGAAGGCGGCGCTTTTTCATGAAAGGGCCCTGCAGCAGAAACATGAGGCTGGCTTTCCTCCTTCAGAGATCGTGACCTCCTATTCCGCTGTGGCCACAGATGCTACAAACCTCTTCCATTTTGAAGAGGCCCTAAGTGGCATGGGCTTTTCTGCGTAGTTTTTTTTGTTTGCAAGATATTTTGTGATGTGGAATGATGGGGCTGATGCAGTCGTTCTTTGCGTTTTCCGCATCAAATCCCAGGTTGGATACGTCAAGGACAAGGTTTGGCCCTACCTAAAGCAGCTCTGGCGATTCTTTATCAGCAAGAGTCTGGAATCCTGGAGTGCCAGGATGATTTCATCTCTGCGCTTCATGTCTTCGAACACTCACTCAAGCTGCAGGAAAAGAGTGTGGCTCTGTTAAAAGAATGACAAGCAAATTTGATGGGTATGGTTCAGCTTGTCATCAGTCAACCTTGAAGGGCATTTGATGATGCATCGAAACCAGACATTGCTCTTAAACCGTAAGAACTTAGCATGAGCATGGAACATATTGAGCCATATTGAATTGTCAAAGCTATGAACTCACTGCGCATGTGGCATAGATTTAGTTTTCATGTGGGCTTGTCCTCCACAAAAACTCGCCCCCCCTACCGACCCCCACACACACACACACACACACACTTATGGATATGCGTACGGACTGATAGCGCTGCCACACGCCGGCCTAGGTTAAAAAAGGAACCTGAGTAAAACGAGGCGCAAAAGTTGGAGGCCATCGCTCTTAGGTTAGAGGCCATCGAAGGCAGGTTGAGAGGCCATCGCTAGTAAGTTTGGTGACAAAAAACAAGACAGCAAAACAGTCAAAGC